AATTTTAAGGCCAGGGAGAAAGGGGGGGAAAAAAAAAGGAAAAGGGGAAAGAAAAGGCAACACGAAAGGGCAAAAAGGGGGAGGAAAAGAGGGTAAAGAAGGGAAAAACCCAGTTATGCTGCACCACAGACGCTAAAGCAAACACATCTAATAAATCATTCACCACACTTAAATACAAAGCCAACATTAGAGGAGCTCTAAGGCACTGTTAAACGAGGAGATTCTGCATTTGAAGAAGTTATGTAGTTCGTTAAAAGCCTGAGCCCACTGCACTGGTGGGTCTCCTGCATCATACCCAAGGCCCCGTTCCCCACGGAATCCCCCCAGTATCTGCCCCCCAAGAGCACATGTGAACCCCTGTGCCAGCCCCATGCCCTGGCAGGGAGCAAGGCCAGTGTGAACTGAAGCCTGGGGGTCAACAACCACCAGCTATCAACGTCTGCAGAGGTTTATTTGCCCTCTGGAGGGAAGCCACATCCAGGTCCCCTCAGGTCCCCTCAGTGCCCTCAAGGCCTCCAGACACACCTGGAGCTGCCACGTGCTCCACACCCACAAAATTAGTTGCAGTTTCTGAAGGAAAAAAAGCCTGCATTGGTGAAGCATTATGTTGGTGGGGTTTCATCATCTTTATTAGAGAAATCCAAGATTTTGGAAGTTGACCTTCCTCCACCTGCTATTGCTTCATGCCTGAGCAAACAGCCCAGCAGTGGAACCACGTTGGTTCTGGAAATGTCCAGCCTTGCTGGCAGCTGTATATAAGGGACAGAGCTGATCAACAGCCTGGTAGAGCAGGAGCATCCTCCCATCTGGCCAGAAGATGCTGGCCACCCTCACCCTCCTCCTGGGGCTGCCCCTGGCCCTCGCCGCCGAGCCCCCCAGCTGCGCCCCGCTTGTCCCGATCACCTTCGACAACGCCACCATCCCCAGGGTAAGTCCTGCCCTCTCCTTTCCTGTCAGCATTCCTAGCCCTTACAGGTCCAGAGAGAGGTTATAGACTCATCAGCTCCATGCTTATCTCGCTGGCTATCCATGCTGCTTTTCTTAAAAAAAAAAATCCAGATTGCTGTACAGGGGCACAGGGAAGGGGTGAAGCCTTGCAGCTCTGCACCCATAATCTCATGAGCAGGCACTTTTGGAGGCTCCTCCTTCCATCTCCTCTTGCGAGCCAGGCTGGGCACCACCATCCCAGTGGCTTGTCACTCTGTTTTAAGTCCTTCAAGTGGTGGTGACTCAGATCACGAGCCTCCATCTGCAAACCCTTCACTGCATAAACAGTATTTAGTCCCTTGGGAGTGTTTAATGGGAGGAAAGCAATGAGAACTGGGCACCGAGCAGGAGGGACACCACCACAGAAAGAACCAGCCATCCTGGGAGCTGCAGCAGCACTTTGGCAGAGAGGGGACAGAACCCAGGGGATAAAACCCCTCACCCAGACTGGATCCTGCCCCAGGGTGGTCACCTACCAGGGGTCCTCGTGGCAGTGGGATGGCAGGACACAGCATCTGCTTTCACTCATGTGGTGCCCGTGGGTTAACCTGGTGTGGCTGCCCCAAACTTCCTCACTTCCCTCCCCTCTGCAGCTCCTGGGACAATGGTACTACATCGCCGGTGCAACCAAGCACCCCCCTCACACGCGAGAGTTAAGAAAAGTGAAATTCTCGGCTTTTTCCCTCTTCCCTGGCGACCATGAGCACGAACTCAATGCCACCGAAGTCATGAGACAGTAAGGACAGGCATTCACCCCCTCATCATGCTCCCCCAACCCCAGGGGCACTTTTACCTGCTGGTGCCATCCTCTGGGCTGAGGCACCCTTGTAAATTTGGGACTGGAGAGCAGCTGTGCCACCTTTATTTAAGCTCTGCAGTCCCACTCAAGTTCCAAGTCCCTTGGGCTTGCTTGGGGAATTCTCAGGGGTCTTTGCTCCATCTGACCTCTCTGCCCCACAGCAACAAGACGTGTGTGACGAAGAACAGCAGCAAGCTCCAGGTCTGGCACGAGAACTCCACCCTGGTGCACGGTGAGGCCCAGTCAGAGCACAGGGAGGGGATGCACCTGGGACTCTCCTGCTTCTCTCCCCCAGAAGTGGGCACCAAAAGCTCTTTTACACCAAAAATTGTGTCTGGAGGTGGGGGGGAAAAATTCTTCCACCCCATACAATGGGTACAGCAGCGCTATGGGACCAGACTGGACCCACTGGGATGAGTCTCAAGGATAAAAGGGGATGAGCTGCCCCTGCCAGCTCTGCCCAGGGTGAGCCCCAGCACGGGGTGATCCCACTCTCTCCATGCCTTCCAGTTGATGATGACGAGGTGGTTACCACGGCCAGAATGATCCAAAGCCACGAGGACCTGCTGATCCTGAACTATCTCGGCACTGACTCCCCAAATCTGAGCCTCTCAGGTGAGTGGATGCTGCCTGGATATGTGGGGCAAAGCCTTGTCCAGGAACAAATCAAGGGGCACAGGCACCCCCAACCCTCACAGGCAGGGCAAAAAGCCCCTTTTCCTCTGATACAGAGAGGGGAAAGATGGGGGCAGGCAGGCAGCAGATTCCACATCTGCACTATGGGGATCACCCAGGAGCAATGCACCCCTAAAACTCCCTTATGTTCCCTCCCTTCTCCATTTCTCTGACAGCACGGACACACAATGTGAGCAAGGAGCACCTGGAAGAGTACAAATCCCATCTGGACTGTCTGGGCCTCACCGAGGAGGATGTGTACTACACTTTAATAGAGGTACCAATCCCTCCTCAGGGTGAGCAAGCCCCAGGCCAGCTTCTGCCTCCAGTTGGGATGGGGTTCTGGGCAGGGTATAAGTGTTGCTCCCCACTGCAACTTCCCCTCTGTGCATCTCCCCTCCTACCTAAGCATCCAACTCAGCCATTCCTTGTGGTTTTGAGGCAGAGGGGCACTGACAGCCACTCTCCCCTCTCCTGTAGGATGCCTGTCCCCCGCCTGGGGAGAAAACAGATGAAGATGCAGATCCACAGGTGGAGTAACCCCCAGCTGCTCCATCCTCATCCTCCCACAGCCAGGCTCAGTGCAGCCTCAGGAGCTCCTATCCAGGCTTTGTTTTTATCTCATGGATTAAACACCCAGTTTCACTGTTCTCATCTGTACCCAAAATAAACCCCTGTGTTACAAGCACCAGCTGCTCCTGCTCCATCCTCTCTGGCACCATGTGCAGGCCCCCCTCCTGCACGCCCTGCCAATGGTGCTGCATTTCCAAACCTGCCAAGAGGTGTGAAAAGCCCCAGACAAAACCCAGACAGGGCCAGATGTGGCAGTGGGCACAGAGATGCTCATCTCTCACACCAGCTCTGTGGTATCAGGGGATCCTAGCCTCAGGATGTTGGGATGTGAGCACCAACCCATCAGCCCCAACCCCATGGGAAGACACACAAACCAGCCAATCCCCTCTAATCTCCTCCACCATGACACTTTTAGCACCTGAACATCCCACCCTTGATTTTCAAGCCAAATCCCACAAGGCTCCATCTGCACCAGGGCCTTGCACAGGGGTTACAGTGGGGTGGGGTGACAAAAGGTGACACCGCACCTTCCCTGAGTGTCTCCAAGCAGGGGAAAGGGGAGACAATGGGAAAACCATCACCCAGGGCCAGACCAAGGGATTCAGGGAGGCTTTGCTACCAGAGGGGAAAAGGTAAACAGAAATAATGCCAGAGAAGCAGGTCCTGCCCTGACCAGCAGCACAGGGACATCAGCGGGACAGGGAGGGGAAATCAGGGAGCTGCTACAGATCTGTCCAGCAGGATGGGGGTGAGCTCCTGGGACCCACCAGTCCTATTTTTATGGCTGGTTTTGGCAAGGATAGCAAAAACATGTTCCCTTCTGTTCAAAGCCACCCTGGGCTTTGGCTGGGATGGGAGGAGCTGCACAGTATGTCATTACCAGAGCTAGGGGTAACTACAGCGGCCACTTGTGGGGGGGAAAATGGGCAAACTTAGGGCAGATTGAAGTTTTAAACGCAGGGACTGCATCGCCCCCATCACCAGCAGCCCACACCTATCCTCGGCTGCAGCCAGAGGGCCAGGGCGAGCGTCGGCGCCTAAAAGGTGCTGGTTGCATCACCAAGTGCGGAGCCGGCAGCCCCGGGCACATCCTGTCCCCTCCCAGCAGGGCTGCAAGAGCCGAGCGAGCGTGTCCGTCTGTCCGGGGTTCGGGAGCCATGGCCGGGATCGCGGTCACCCTCGGGCTGGCGGTGCTGCTGCCCACGGCCGCCTTCCCCTGCGGAGCCCTGCGCCCTGACAACGCCACGGCCACCAAGGTAGGAGAGACACGAGCCCCGGGGGGCTGCCCCGCTCCTACAAATAATTTGTGGGTGCTCTGCCAAGCCTCCCTGTCCCCTGGGAAAAGGGGGAAACCCCACCTTGTCCCCTCCCGGCACATCTGCCAAGGTGCCCTCGGTGAAACACCTGCAACAAATGTGAAACATTTGCTTTCCAAAACACCCCGAATCGCCCGGTTTTCTCGTGGCACCCTAGCAAGTCCCAACAGCAACCTCCAAAGAAAGAAGGGTGGCTGGGTATTTTTTGGGCTGCCCTGACCCTGCTGCACCACCCAGAGCACCCACAGCCGGCGCCAGCATCTTTCCCAATCCCCACACGCAGCTTGTTTTTTTACCCCGGTGCAAAGGTTTCATCCGCTGGCTGCCAATGTAGCGCCAGAGGGAGAACTCACAGAGATACCAATTCTGCCACGGGGAGGGTGGGGATCTCCTCCCCACGGCTCTCCCCTGCAAACCCAGCAGCCCTCACCTGCCCCTCTCTCCCCACAGCTGCTGGGGACGTGGCTGTACGTGGCCGGGGCTGCCCAGTTCCCCCGGCACCTCCTGGAGATGCTGCTCATCGACCACGGGCACCTGCACGTGGAGCCCCTCACGGATGGGCGGGAGCTGCTCATCACCCAGCACGTGGCCGTGTAAGATGCTGCCCCCAAACCCGTCCCCTCCCACCTGCTGCAGCCCCACAGCCTTTCAGTACAAAATACGAGCACAATTTCAGATTGATTTCTCCAAAAAAACTTTCTCCTGGCTGCTCTGTGCATCCTCTCCCATCTCTTCTCTTCCTCACTCCCTTCAATTAATTATTTATTTCAACAGTCCCCGGGTTTGGGTGAATTTTGCAGGGCACAGAGGTCTCACAGACACCAAGCCCTGTGGGCAAGGAGAAGACCTCTGTGGAGGAGGAGACCTCTTCAGAGGTCCCAGTGCCACAGCCACTGATTCTGCCAGGCACCAAAAGGTGTTTCCCTTGCCAGGTCAGACTTTCAGGGGATGATTTTTTTCTGTGCCAACACAGGCAGCAATTTGTTGTTTCAGTTATTTTGGGGTGGAAAATATCTCACCACCAAGGAGTGGGGGCAAGGCAGAAAAAATGCACAGGAGAAATGCCCTAATTTTAACAGTGAGAGCAATTAACCCAGTGAAGGAGGTGGCAGGTGCCTGGTGTGGGCTCAGGAGCAGGGCTGGGTCTTTGCTGGTCCTTTCCAAGCCCATGGCATCACCCCCTGCCCCTCCCTCTCTCTCTCCAGGGGGGACCAATGTCTCACCAACAACCTCACCTACTTGGAAATCGCCACCGGTAACACCACACTGGTGAAGCATGGTGAGCACCCATTATCCCCCAGCCCGTGTTTTTCCATGGATTGAGACACACAAAGGGCCCATGTCCATGTTTTACATCATCTGATGCATTTTCTGCCTGAGTCACTTTGCCTGTTTGAAGCCTCAGTGGGCTCCAAACAACTCCCCACACCAGGACACCCAGGGGATCACACACCCCCTTCCAGCCACACTAAACCCCACAGAGCAATGCTGTTCCAGGAGCAAACCAGCCCCCATCCCTGCTGGAGAACACCATCTTGTTTGTGAAGTTATTTCACAATCCCTGGAGGAAAGGAGGGAACACTCATGGCAGTTTTCAGTGAGTTAATGGAGCTTCTCATTCTGAATTGCTTCCTCCTTGCAGAGGAAACAGGGGGAGCCATTCGGGGTGGGAATTGCAACCCCCTGGGTTACAGTTTGCACTGACCCAGCCACAGCAGCACTGCTGTGAGCAGGGGGCAGCTTCTCCACGATTTTGCAGACCCCCAAGCTGCAAGGTCAGGCACTTGGGGTCAGGCACACCCTCATACCCCGAGCCTCAGCACGCCACACCATGCAGCACATTCCAAAAGCAGGACAGGAGTTGGGTGACTTTGGCTCCTTCACACCCCAGCCCCATATTTAAGGAACACAATTCAAATAAACCAAGAACCAAACAAGTCACCCCATGTCAGGACATTTGTCCTCACACACTGCTGAGGGCTGGATTCCAGGGGCTACTGGCGCTGCTCACACCTGGGCTGGGGTTTGTTGCTGCTGCAGCACTAAAAGTGTGAATATTTTGGCTGTTCTCTCCAAGCCAAGACCCAGGAAACTGTGGGGACACTGATGAACCTCACCTCTGAAGACCTTTTACTCATCCAGTACCAACTGCAGAGGGAAAGGACATATGTGGGACTGTATCTCTACGGTACGCAAACTCCTTCCCAAAGTAACTTTGTCATGTGACACCGAAACACACACATAAAATTATCAACTGAAACCACAACAACAGCTTGGTTTCACCAACAGTGAAACTTTCCTGAGACCAGCGCTCCAGGGGTCACAGGAGCATTTACAAAGCCCATTAAATCCCACATCTCTTGGCAGAACAGAAAGAACAAGTTAAAGACCAAACCCACTTAGGCCATAAATATTCAAAGAACAGGAAGCAAATACAACTCAGCATCGATATCATTGTAAAATCTCAATATTTTCAAGCCAACCATGATGTTTCAGTGCTTACCTCCCAGGGCAGAGCACGTGGCTTTGCAGTGCCAGCACAGGCAAAGCTGATCAGATCTACCCACAACCTCATAAAGCACTTTTAGACCCTGATAAGGCTCCCCATTGCCCATCCAGGCTGCAAAGCAATTGATTAAGGGAGTTTGAAGATACAGGTAGAAAACTGCCTCCATACTCAGCCTTGGACCCTCCCAACACCCCAGGAATGTCAGACTATCCTGCCATCCCTTAAAGCAGACAGGACTGGAGTAGTTTGGGAGAGTAAAAAAAGTGATACCCAAGGCTCGTTTTGTTCATGTGTGTTCACCATGGGCACAAGAAACCCCTGCAGAGACCACATCCACAGCAAGCACTGGTGGGGAAAGGAGGCAGCAAGGGCAGGGACATCACAAAGGACCATCCTAAGGCCACCAGTCCATATTTAACTCCTGGCAAATGCTTCTCCTCTTCCAGCCCGGAACCTGAGCGTGAGCACAGCTGACCGTGAGGAATTCGAGCACCACGCCAAGTGCCTGGGGCTGAGGGAAGAGGAGATCATTTATGCACCCTGGAAAACAGTACGTGGGTGTCCGTGGGTGGGCACGGGTCAGCAGAGCCAGCACAGCCCCCACCCCAGGCTGTACCCCCAGCTGCCAAACTGGGGTCTTGGAGAGGCGTTTTCGAGGTGGTGGAAAGGATTTAGGGGACTAAATAACCACAGGTTCGCTTAAATGGAGGTTTAAAATAACATCCCCCTGCAGACAGGTGACTCCTGAAAGCAAATACCTGCACCCGAGCATCTCCAGGGAAACCTGGTAACTGCCTCCCACTGCCTCCCACAGGCACTGGGATCTTTGCCCTGAAATTCCTCATTTTGCCTCGAAACTCCTGATTTTGCCCCCCCCCCAACCCCCAGCAGAGACCAGCTGCCCCCAGGAGCTGCAGCAAGGGTCAGGAGGGGCCAGTGCATCAGAGATTTTTCCTTTAGGTTTTTCACCAGAACATTAACCAGACCCAGCCCTTGCCTCTGCCACCTTATTTAGGACATTTTATCCTGCAAATGACCCAGTCCCCAAGTCAGCTTGAAAAGTGAAGGTGAAAAATATCCTACCTTTTTCTGTTCCATCCTGTTCCATCCTGCTGTTCCACCTCAGGAGGCTCTGAGCTTTCAGAGGTGCCCAAAACCCCACACCAGGCAGCCAGGCTGGATCCAGCATTGTCTCCAACACCCATCCAGCCTTAAGATGCCTTTTTTAAAACTGTCCCCCACAGTTCAGGGGAACTGGGGACAGGGACAAAGGCAGGGAGTGAAACCCTCTTGCTGTGGCAGGGCCAGGTCTCCTTTCCCATTTAGGCAACAAGCAGCACCTGGGAGGAAGAGCCCAGCTCCCCCACACTAACCACAGGCAGCTGTGGACTGGGAGTTGCAGAGGCATTTGGGTCACATTTAACTTTGGACAAGGTGAAGGAAGGTTAGAGAAAGGCAAAGTGAGTGCAGTAAGAGAAAATTGGCTGTCCTTACAAGCTGTGGTGCAATTGGTGTTGTCAGAGAAGGGTTTTGTGCCCAGCCAAGGTAGGACACTGCATCCAAGGAGTAAAAAACTGATTAAACAAACACAGAAAATATTTTGGGGACCTTTGTCATCAGGGTGAAGGAGATGGATGTGAACAGAGCATCAGAGCAGACTCACATACCCCTCCACCAGCCCCAGGCACTAATAGACCTTAACTTATAGCAAATGCCTGGGTAGCACAAGGATTTTACTTATTTCACCAGAAGTTTGAGTCCCCTTTTCCTTCAGCACTCATTTACTGAACCCCCAGTATAGCACAGCTTTGCCCCAGAAACTTGGTTTCTTCTTTCCAGCACACACCTGGAAAATGTCACCAGCAGCACCTGGGCAGTGTCTGTGCCTGGGGAAGCCCAGAGCTTCCTTAGCCCCTCTTAGACTTATGATCAGCTAAAAAGGGAAAGGAAAATACTCCTTTCTTCAGTAAATTCTCTCCTGTTGGTGCCTTGGCATTTTCACTTATCCTGTTATTGTTGTTTGGACAGGAGCTGTGTCAAACAAAAGAAATAGAAAAAGGCAACACCCCACACACGGAGCCCGTGGCTGAGGGCACAGCATCACCTCCTCCAGGTACCCCCCGGCCTGGGAGTGTGGGGAACTGACCCCACTTCAAGCAATAAATGTTTTCTTCAAATTCCATGCATTTTGTTGCTGAGCTTTTGGAGAGCAGAGGGTTCTGAAGAGGTCAGAAGTGGGGCTTGCTAAAAGAAATTGGGCATCCAGTTCACCTTGTGTGTCATTCAGCTGGGAGCTGGGAAGAGTCATCCTGGAGCTTTACACCAAGCTTGGAAGAGAGCTCTGCCAGAAAGGCAGCACTGAAATGGAGCAGTAAGAGAGGCCAACCAGGAGAGGGCAATCACTAACTATGTTAAATAACATGCCAAGCCTTTGAGGAGCAAGTGGGATATACAGAAGGCTGGAAACCTCTTTACCCGTACAGCCTGGGGAAGAGGGTGCTTAACTAGAAGAAACCACCCAATTCCCTTGACAGCAGTTTGACCACCAGGTAGCCCAGATGGGGCAGAAGTTCCTGCCCAAACCCTTTGGATCTGACAAGTGCTCCCCAATAATGTCCATCCACAGCAAGGTTTGCACACAATGACACTGACAAATAACCCTCCTGCCAGAGGGAGGGGGTGCTGGCCCAACCCAGGCTGGATTTTTACTTTTCCAGAGAAAGGGCCATGTTTTCTAATTTCCCAGTAAGCTCAGCACCGTGGAGGTGGGAAGGTACAAGTGCCAAGGTTGAAATTTCTCTCTGTGCCTCTGGTACACCCCTGCACTTGTCAGGCACCTCACTCATCCCTTATCCCACCCCCAGCCCCAAAGGGAGGACAGCACTGTCACTGCATTTGTGTAAGTGGAGGAGTTTAACAAGAGACTGCTGTTGCTGCGTGTCTGGAGAGTAGTTCAGTCTCTGCTCTAACCTAGTAATTAAGCACTGAAAATATCTCTCTTCCTTAAAAAGGAAGAAAATGAGCAAAGCTGGAGGGAAGGCAGCAGTGGGCCCCATTCCTCCCACTGCAGCTCCAGGGTGCCCTGTCCCTGTCCAGCCTTTACTGGGCAGTGTTTCAGTGTCGAGTCTTTGGACAGATTCCTGTAGCAAAAAATGAATTTTACAAGATCACAGAATCATTAAGGTTGGGAAAGACCTCCAAGATCATTGAGTCCAACCTGTGCCCGATCCCCACCTTGTCACCCAGCCCAGAGCACTGAGTGTCACATCCAGTCCTTCCTTGGACACCTCCAGGGATGGGGACTCCACCACCTTCCTGGGCAGCCCCTTCCAATGCCTGACCAACCTTTCTGTGAAGAAAGTCCTCCTAATGTCCAACGTGAACCTCCCCTGGCACAGTCTGAGCCAGTTTCCTCTTGTCCTGTCACTTGTTACCTGGGAGAAGAGGCCAAAGCCCCCCTGGCTCCACCCTCCTGTCAGGGAGTTGTAGAGAGCAAGAAGGTGCCCCCTGAGACTCTTCTTCTCTATGCTAAGAAATAAATCCAGCTGATTCCCTCCTGGTCTCAGAGCACAGGTATCCAGCCAGCCCTTGCTTCAGACACCTTTTTATCACCTTGTGACATGAAACATAACCCCCCATCCCAGTTTGGGGTAGGAGAGGGCAGGGGTGCTGAGGGGATGCTGGGAGCAGCCTTCAGCGCTGCAGTCCAAGAGTGCATCGATAACAGTCTCAGCTGACTGAAGCTGACACTGTTGGAGAGCTCAGATTACAAGGACCCAGACTTTATGAGTGGATTTATAGCTGAATAAAGCCTTGAATTACAGTCAGAGATGTAAGGAACCAACAAATCCAGTCTGGCCCCCGCAGCAAGTTTTGTTAACCAAATCAGAGGCCACCTGCACTACCAGCTATGGCTCCTGAATGACCTTCAGGGTTAGCTCCTGGTTGGGTTGTTATTTAAGAAAAAAATTGTACAAGGCCTTTCTTTTGAGAACCCTGTAAGCCAGGTTCTTCCAAGGGGATAATTGGACTGCAGAGCTTTCAATTTTTCTGGGAAATTTACTTCTCTGAACAGAGTGTTATGGATACTGCAGAGATGAGCAAAGTCCAGCAACACTCAGAGACAGGTAAACAGTGTCTGAACATCCCTGACTCATCACCACCAGCATTAGCTTTGGTCTTGTTGTCTTTGCATTTAAGAATTCCATCCTCCCAGGTCCTCAAAGGGAGAATCCTTCCCAGTGTTGGTGACCTTGGTGAGAATTATCCCAGGAAAAGTCTGGCCACAAACAACATCACTAAACCATATCAGGAAAGAGATGCAGACACACAGTATCTCTTTAACAGACCTTTATTAGCAGACTGTTCCCTACATGAAGAATCCGAGTTAGATTTGCATTATAACAATTTGTGGTTACAGCTACAAAGATGGTTGTCATTTTGCATTGATTTTTGCATTCTGATATTCATATTCTCATTAGGCCACACTGGTAGGAAGGAGCCACTGCAGAATTTATGACAAGTCTCAGGAAGAGGGGGGTGGAAAAAAATCATTACTAATCCAGATTGGTCAGATTTTCAAGTGGCTGCTATTGACAGCACTGAGAGTTAAGGCAGAGCCTCACCTGGGAGACTCTCCATGAACCACCAAAATCTGTCCAAAAAAAAGCAGCTGCTGAGTGCTAGCAAATCCTTCTCCAATTTCTCACACACATCTCCACAGTGTCCTCCTGCATGTGGTGAGCACTCACTCAGCAGCAGAGTCTTCTGATTCAGCCTCAAAGCACTGATTCAGCTCATGTCCAAGTGCAAGTTTCCTTCCACCTCTCTGGAAATGTGTATTGTCTTTAGTCCCTGAGATTTCTCTCCTCCCCCCTCACCTAAAAATTCCCCAAATTGCTCTTAATTAGCTGTTGTGACATCCAACATACACAGACCTTCTACTTCCCAACTTCAGCCATCCACCCTTTCAGCCATGCACAGAGGCAATTCCAAACTAAGGCAAGCCTCACAGTGCACCCTCTCCCCAAGCTTCTGCTTCCTCACCTGCTCCCTTCTCTCCTATGGCTTCTTGCTACAGAATTTCTCTGGGCTGAGGTCCTCCAGCAACAACCCCAGATGTGGGAAAGGCAGCTCAAGCCCCACAGGGAAGGTACACGAGTGACTTTAGTGTCCCTCCCCACGACTCAGCTGTGTGATGTGAAAGAACTAATAGAGAACTTTTTAAAACAGGAGAAATATAAGCACAGTAACAATATTTAAACAAGTCTATAAAAATAGTCTGACATAACTCTGTTCAAATAAATACAAAATAAATATGCTTTAAGCAGTAAAACAGTGGAATGCAACGCTGGTCCATTTTGCCCAAAATGAAAAGTTGAATGAGGATCTTCCAGGCCTCAGAAGTCGGATCCTATTAACTAAAGCAGCCCATAATGCAATCAGAGAAATTTTAAAGCCATCTCTTTCCCTTAGCCTTATGAAAAGCACCCTTTGAAAGACGAGCAAGCATGTCTTCAGGACTGAAAGCCCACCTCTCCCAGTGACAACCAGCCCCTCTCCCTAACACCCCTTCCCACAGCGGACATTCCTGACTTGGGGCACCCATGGAAACCTGAACATCCATCTACCAAGAGGTCTAAAGAGAGAAATAGCAGCGTAGGCACGGGGTTTGGAAAAGGCCCAACAGCTCTCCTTGGCACCAGGCAGAATGGAATTGAGAGGTCCATGCAATGCTGCACAGGGGCTCTCACGTCGTGCTGGGAGCACAACTGCACAGGAGCTGTGAAATATTGTGTTTGTTCACTAAAGCCATGCATCACGGTGCCGGTCAGCCCAGGGCTCTCCTGCCTTCCCCTTCCCAAGCCCCTGCTGAGTATAAGACAAGCCAATCCCGGCATGCAAAGGATACAGGCATGCAGGCTCTAGTCTGCTGCTTCTGTTAGTAAGTGCATCTTGTTAGTGGGTTTATGAGACACACTTAAACCTATAAAAAATAAATAATTCTAATTCTTCATCAGGCTGGCTTAAGCAACCTTCAGCCTGACTGGATAAACCACTGCCCACCAGCCCTCCAAACCAGTATAGATCAAAATTACATTTCATGTCAAGTCTTGGAAGCAGAACATGAATGTCTCCTACCCAAAGGAATATTTGTAAACATTATAACAAGCCCGGTGTGGTAGCAGCTCCTACACAAGGTTTGTACAAATTTAAACAATGGGTAGGAAGTTAAACAACTGAATGGAAAAAGCAGCTCTCTGAATGGAAAAAGAAGCTCTTTCAGCAAGTCAGAAGGTGCTCATCTGTAGGCAAACAGCTCTGTACAGGCAACAGGCTGAGGGCAGACCTGTAACCCAGATCTTTGCTACTCTGTCATACTGCTGGGAACTGACCTCAGCAACTCCTGCCCTAAGATTCCCTCAGGAGTTCACCTCCTGGTCTCCCAAAGGCCCAACAAAAAGGACCACGTGATGGTTTATGTGGAGCTCTGAGTAGCAAGATGGCAAAGGACACCAGATCCTCCCCTCCCCCTTACTGACTCACAAACAATCTGGGATTTCACAGCTTTGCTTAGTCAGCTTAGTGTCGACACATTCACAGAATGAGAGATGGCTTATACGTCTTGGGATTGCATCCCAAGATTTCAGAGTTCAAAGTCCTCAGCATCTCCTGGTCACCGTGAATCCACGCCCAGAGTCATCTTCAAGTTCTCATACACCACGTAGCTGATGCTCACAGCTGGGATCACCTTCATGAAGTTCGGCGCCAGACCCCGGTAAAGCCCAAACGCTCCCTCTGTCTTCAGGATGTGTTTGAACAGTCCCCTCATTGTCACCTCGGGAGCACCCTCCACTGAAGCTGCAACAGGGAAAGACACAATAAATAATGCAGCCTAGGTGGTGAAAACATGTTAAGAGCAGTTCTGGGTCACACGCTTGCAGATGTTCACAGAGCAAAGGTGCTCTGTGGGGGACAACATTAACTTCTCAGCACACCATGGCCATACTGCACATCACCGCTATTTTCTCAAACTGCTGTACAGACACCCTTAGCCAAAACTCCTGATCTAAGCAAAACAGAACCTCTGTCCTGCAAGTCCTTGGCCCCAGTTGTTGAAGGGCAGCACAAAGTCCACTTGCAGCATCACAAACAGCCCACGGCTCAGCTGCACGGGCC